TCTGCCTTCGGCTCAGGTCATGATCCCAGGGTCCTGGGATCGAGCCCCACATCGGGCTCCCTGCTCAGTGGGAAGCCTGCTTCTCCCTCTGACCCTCCCCCTGCTTGTGTTCCCTCTCTTGCTATGTCTCTGTCAAATAAATAAATAAAATCTTTAAAAAGAAAAGAAAATAAAAAATAAAAAGTTAGTGGATACAAATTGTAAATAGTGTAAAATAAGTGTCCCTCCCATTGTCGGCTCTCAGCCATTGTGTTTCCACTCCTCAGAAGCATCCCCTGTTCTCTTAGATGCGTGTACATGCATGCATGGTTTTTTATACGAACAGTATAATACAGTTAGCTCTGTTTGTACCTCAGTATTTTATTTTGTTTCTACTTCTCAGTGTATTTGGCAAACACTCTGTACATAGCTGCCCCAGTTTGCATGGCCACAGCGGTTCCTTCACAGATGCACCATCCCTTACCTAGCCAGGCCCCTGTTGATCTTGTGCTGGTACAGACACTGAGTACCTTCACATAACACCATTTCTCATGCTCATTTTGCATCTGTCACGTGTGAGGTTGAACATCTTGAGAATTTGAGGACCAGTTTTCCTTTATATCTCTTCAGCCTTTTTTCCTTCTCGCTGTTGGGTAATTGGTCTTATTCTGAGGCATTTGTAGAAGCTCTTTTTTTGTTTTGTTTTGTTTTAAAGACTTTATTTATTTATTTGACAGAGAGAGACAGCGAGAGAGGGAACACAAGCAGGGGAGTGGGAGAGGGAGAAGCAGGCCTCCCGCCAAGCAGAGAGCCCGATGTGGGGCTCAATCCCAGAATGCTGGGATCATGACCTGAGCTGAAGGCAGACGCTTAATGGACTGAGCCACCTAGGTGCCCCAGCATTTGTAGAAGCTCTTTCTAAATTAAGTAAATTAGTCCTTCGTCAATGATTTGAATTGTGTATTTTCTAGTTTGTCATATCATTTTGAATGATCTTGCTTGTATGTGTGTAATTTTCAACATTTGAGGATCATACATGCAGTTTTCCCACACTTTTCACGTGTTGTATTTTTCCATGTCTTTGAGTATTTCTAAATATTGTTTTTGATGGCCAGATAAGAGTCCATTGATGGGTGTACCCAAAGTTATACCTGGCCCTGTTGAGAAAAGGACTAGCTTGCTGCTCAGTGTGCAGTTGAGCGGACAGTCCTCCAGAGGACGCTCCTGGGGAGCACGTGCATTCCCGTGGCTACAGTTTTGGGAGCTGAGTTGCTGCCACTTGTTACAGATAGTTTTCATTGATTGTTCCCAATTTTCTCTCACTTCAAAAGTCCTTTATCCAATGCCCTGAATTGATGTAACTTCTTTTAATTTTTTTTTTTCTGAAGACATTGAGATAAGGTAGTAAAGCCGAAGTGTATTTCTCTAAAAACATGATGTTTAAGACTAGGAAAAAATATTTGTAACACGTTTGCTAAAGGATTAGTGTTCCTAATATGTAAAGAGCTCCTTCAGAATAACGGGGGAAAGGCCAGCAGCTCATCGGGAAAACTGGGCGAGGTGAACCGTAGAGGAAATGTGGGTGGGTGGTGAACATCTCTCAGCAGCCTGCAGGGACCTGCAGGTGGAAACCAGATGCCCTTGGCTCACCCTCCAGAGGGGCAGGCGTTTCAAAGATGGTCACAGTCCGTGCCAACAAGCCTGTGGGACATGAGTGTGCACACTCCCTGACGGCACTCTGGTTTATGGGAATGGCAACTGCAGGAGCTGTCAGACCCTCGTGTGTGCATCTCTGTGGGGAGCTACCCTACACACCACGCTTGGGATGCAGCATTTGTACAGGGTGTCCCCTGCAGCCTTGTGTATAATACTGAAGCCTCAGTGACCACCAGGAGTGAGTGGCCTGGGAAATCGTGGTGCATCCAGGTCACAGGATGCTGTACGCTGGTGAGAAGTGCTTTCTGAGATCATTTAATTGTAAAAACCCAAAGAAACGCTGCAGCACCATGTACATAGTGCCGCCTTGGGTGACTGAAAACCTGTAATGCGCACATAGATGGCTCGAAGTGCGTGTGTCCAGATAAAGTAGGATACACAAGCATATCACCGTGGCTGTGCCTCTGAGGAGGGCACCTGGAACAACTAGGAAACGGGGGTGGGGGGGCACTTAACTGTTCACTGTACCTCCTTTTCTTACTTTAGAATTTTGTACCATGTGCAAGTAAATGTAACACTTAAATTTTTTTTATTATGTTCAGTTAGCCAACATATAGTATATCACTGGTTTTTGATGGAGTGTTCAACGGTTCATTAGTTGCATATAACACCCAGTGCTCTTCACATCACGTGCCCTCCTTAATACCCATCACCTGCCTACCCCATTCCCCCACCCCCGTCCCTTCTGTACCCCTCAGTTTGTTTCCCAGAGTCCAGAGTCTCTGACACATAAATTTTTAAATGTAATAGTTATTTGTCCCAGCAATTCCACCTTTGGGGTTCTGTCTTACAGAGTAGAAGCATCAGAACAGAAGGGTTTATGTGTAGAGGTTTTTTACTGTAGCTTTGAAACATAAGTATTTTTTTTTTAAGATATTTATTTATTTGGGGGCGACTGGGTGGCTTAGTCATTAAGCGTCTGCCTTCGGCTCAGGTCATGATCCCAGGGTCCTGGGATCAAGCCCCACATCGGGCTCTCTGCTTGGCAGGAGGCCTGCTTCTCCCTCTCCCACTCCCCCTATTTGTGTTCCCTCTCTCGCTGTCTCTCTCTCTCTGTCAAATAAATTTTAAAAAGTCTTAAAAAAAAAAAAAGATTTTTATTTGAGAGGGAGAGAGAGAGCGCAAGAGCAGGGGGAGAGAGAAACAGACTCCCTGCGGAGCCGGGACCCTGGGATCATGACCTGAGCCAAAGGCAGACGCTTAACCCACTGAGCGACCCAGGCGCCCAGGGGCAGTGCTCTTTTTAAAATATATTTGTTCACCTCCCCGGGGATTTCAGGAATCTCTACAGAGAGGCACTGTCTCATTTTCCGAGCTCATATAATCAGCTTGGTGATTTGGCGTTGAGAAGTTAGCATGTTCTAGAAGATCAGATTGACAATGTGAGCCCCTGCCCCTGTGCTCTGAGGCGGTGTGTTTTAGTGCGTGTTCATACAGAACATGAGTCTTCAGTGAGACATTTCTCTGATGTATGTTGTGTCCCCAGAGGCTTGGCCGTTAGCTTTAACCTGTGTGCTTAAGGTTCCATTTTTCTTCTCTTTATTAGGAAACCATAAATACAGGCCCTTTTGTGATGCGCTCCACATGTCGGAGATGTGGGGGCCGAGGCTCCATCATCACGACTCCCTGCGTGGTATGCAGAGGAGCAGGACAAGCCAAGCAGAAGAAGAAAGTGGTGATCCCCGTCCCTGCCGGTTGGTCCTGGGCTCCTCATGCACTGGGGGCTGGGAGAGCTGAGGCCTTTGTTTCCTTGTGATTGGGCTGTTGGAGAAGCTATGGTTAAGGGCCCGGAGCCCTGGACTGGAGGGGCGGACTAGAATCTCCTTGAATTTTCATCTTTGCACTAGTTATGCTACGGGCTTCCCTTGCATGCCACATTGGGCAAAAGGGACCTGACACGTCTGCTGTGCTCCTGTGGGGCTCCTCCACCTTCCGTCAATGAGACCAGCATGGTCCCCGCTGCCAGCCCAGTCTGCACCACCACTCCTCCCTCCTGGCCCCCAGGGGCAGCCTGTGACTGCTTTCCCCAACTGGCTCTTTCTCCTGGGGTGGGCTTTCCCCTGCAGGGTGATCATGTCACTCGCCCTGCAGAGCATACTGTGACTGTTGGGGTGAGTAATGCCTCCAGTCTCAGCTCCTACTGGCCTCTGCAGCCTCCTGTCTTGTTAGTCTCCCCTGGTTGCCTGCCCTGCGGCCTTCTTGACTTTCACGTAGCTCCTTGAACAGGCCGCCTTCCAGGACAGAGCAGCGTATACCACTCCCTGTGTCTCAAGCTCACTTTCCACCTTCTTTTCAGCAGGCTAACTCTTCTCCCCAAGCTCCTAGCGCGAATGTCGCTTCCCTGGGGCAGCCTTCTGGAACTCTCCCTGTTCCTTACATGTCCTTTGTCTTTTCCTTCGAAGAACATGACCCTCTTTGTAATGATGCGTTTGTTAGTGTTAACTCTTTGGTCGATAGCTGTCTCCCCTACTAGACTCTGAACTCACTGAAATACTACACAGACTGGTAGGAGGAGGGGTCCAGTACACTTGGATAAATGAATAGAAGGTGCTCTTGTTTGCTTATCAGTTGCTGTATTTGCACCCTTGAAAAGTTACACTCGTTGGTTGTACTGTGGGTAATTGTGTTGCTCCTCATAGGCATGAGTAAGGAAGTCAGTGGTTTGTAAATGGATCTAGGGCAGAAAATTCCTTGGGAGGTCCCAAGATAATTCTTCCCTTTTGAACTTTTGTTCTTCCTTATAGGAGTTGAGGATGGCCAGACTGTACGGATGCCTGTAGGAAAACGGGAAATTTTCATCACATTCAGGGTAGGTGCTCTGCCTATAAGGCTTCTCTCCAGTCCTCTCCTTCTGGGTGAGGGTGCAGCCCGGGTTTCTCGCTAGAGAGAGGCTGGCGCTTCACGGGAGCATATCTGGCCATCTGTGTTTCTAAGGGCAACAGTGGCCACCTTGGTAGGGTTGTTAAACATGCGTCACGTCAAACCTTCGTGCTAGGTTTGGACAGAGCACAATTTCCTCAAGATGTTTACAGGTTGGAAACATTGCACACATAAAAATGCAGAACACATCTCCTTGTGTTTTTAGCTTATGTATTGAATTGTTTGTGGGGATAGCGAGTACAGCTTTACGTACCATGTGCAGGAGCAGACCTGGTTTTCTGGAACGGGGGGATGGCGAGGGGGATAGCGCCCTGTCCCCGCAGCCCTGCCAGGTGCACGCTTGAGGAAGGCCGCGCGGGCTGCGTGTGAGACTCCTTCACTCGTAGCAGCGAGACTCTGACAACAGCCTACTGCCCTCGGAGAAGAGGGAGAAGAGAGTGGCCGAGTGCACCACACGGGGGCCAGAGTGCTTCAGAGCAGCCAGAGGAAGAAACTGGAGCCACATGTGTCAGCACGACACATCTCGAGACTTCTCAGTTACCAGTGAGGGAAGGAAAGCAGATTGCAAGCAGAGGCAGGGAGGGACACGGTCAACGGTTCACATGGAGATGGTGCTACGTATTATTTGGGGACACGTGTGTATATGTAGGAACAGTCATTCCTCCATTCATCGTGGTGGTCACTCTGGGGCGGGGGAAGGGGCCGGGAGGGTTGGTCCCTCAGCTGGGCTGTGGGCACTGTGTGTGTGTGTGTGATGTTATTTACTTTGCCTGTTCATATGTGTGTGAAATACTTCATAATTTAAAAGAAAGATACAAATACTGTAAAGGATGAACTGCTAGACCAGGAGATGCAAGACAAAGGTGACCTGCTGGACGCCAGGCTCTACGACAGGTAGACCCCGCTCCCATGTGATAATAGACAAGAACACAGAGAGGGGGCATGGCTGCGAGGCAAGGAGTGTCTTTGACACCCAAAAGTTCTTATAAAGTCAGAGTCATTCCCGTGCTGCCCATCTGTCTTTTTTTTTTTAATTTTTGTTCATTTCAGAGAGCACAAGCAGGGGGAGCTGCAGGCAGAGGGAGAGGGACAAGCAGACTCCCCGCTGAGCAGGGAGCCCGATGCGGGACTCGAATCCCAGGACCCTGGGATCATGACCCAAGCCAAAAGGCAGGCGCTCAACCGACTGAGCCACCCAGGCGCCCTGCCCATCTGTCTTGAGGGTAGTTTGTACCAAATGACTGTTAGGAGAGTAAACTCTGCCTTTGTAGATGTTACTAGTCTGTGTAAACCTTCCATTAGAGTAAGATTTTTGTTGTAATGTTCAAAAAGCCAATTTTACTTTTTTATTTGTCAGTTGAACGGCTTGATCTGAGACTGACACTCTTGCATTGCAGCGTAGAAACAAATCTGATGTAACTCCTGGAGCCTGGGGCCACATTCTGCTTTGGTGAAAGTACATTCTCTCCCTCGGTACTCTGTTCCTCACACAGAAGCAGCGTCACCATAATGCATGTCAGGGCCTGTGCCCACGCTGCTGGGATGTGGGGCTGTTGTCCTTCTCAGGGAGGACTTCTCCGCCCATGACTGCATCTTGTGCTTGGCCCTAGGTGCAGAAAAGCCCTGTGTTCCGGAGGGACGGTGCAGACATCCACTCCGACCTCTTTATTTCCATAGCTCAGGCTCTTCTTGGAGGGACTGCCAGAGCTCAGGGCCTATACGAGACCATTACCGTGACGGTAAGAGGGCAGGGATGTCTTTGCCAGTCTTGTACTTCATCACTCTCTTTTTTTTCTGAAACAGCTGAGAAGTGGCAGAACCTGTGAGCAAGTAGCATGTCGGGGACTCAGAGATGAGGTCTGGGGGAGGCAGGAGGAAGGTCAGGCCATTCCTTGGGTTCGAATCACAGACCGTGGGCCTTGACTGTGGAATCGCCGGGGATGGCAGTTCCTGGGTCGAATCTGCTCCTCTACGGGCACCAGGCACCAGACCCCTGTGTGGGCCTTGCCTCCTCCCTGCTCTTACTCTCTGTGCTCCCACACTCCTCCTTGTGGGCTCATCTCCCCAAACCGCCTGCCTGCAAGTCCCCGTCACGGGCTCTGCTCCGGATGGACCCCAGTTTACCCAGTTTCCATGTGGTTGTCTAGAAACCTGAATGGCAGTTCTTTCCTAGGAGTAAGTCTTTATGTAGTGAAATGTTTCCATTTGAGTAACTGGAGACCAAGGCAAACCACAGATTTCCTTTCTTTATAGATCCCTCCTGGGATTCAGACAGACCAGAAGATTCGGATGAGTGGGAAGGGCATCCCCCGGATTAACAGCTATGGCTATGGAGATCACTACATTCACATCAAGATAAGAGTTCCAAAGTGCGTGCCCACGTAGCCATGGTGAGGTCCGCCCGATCTCCGCACCTTCCCCACCCAGCAGGGCCCGGTGGAGGGCTTTTTACCTGCCGGGCCGTGTGCTGGCCCCTCGGCCTGGGCCCCTTGTCCGCTGCTGTGAGCACGGAGGCTTGTGCAGGCTTGTGCTACCTCCTTCCTCTAGCCAGGTGTGTCCTGCCCGAGTTCCCCCTTGCAAAGTGGGCACAATAAAAAAAAGTGGACTCATTAGCTGCCCAAAAATTGAGTAATACGTGGGGCACGTGTGGCTGTAGCTGCTGTTGTCAATTTTGTTATTACTGCTGTCAGGGCACTGGGGGTCTGCTGGGAGGGGCAAATCTGTAACTGGATCATGGCACATGACATCCTCATCCTCTGGGAGGAAGGTCTGAGCGCAGTGCTGGGGCGTCCCACCCCTCTGGGGAAGACTGGCTTAACGTGACTCCTTTTATTAACTTCCTACATAAGACACTTGTAAGAGGCCCCCCACCCTCTTTTAAATAAACTGTTTAGTATTTATGGCAGCTGTTTAAAAACAGCTTAGGGTATTTTAGGAGATTTTCTTCTGTCTTAATGCTGTGCTAATTTTCAGGTGAACAGCAAGGATTTGACAGTTCGATAGGTGATGGGGTGCTCACCGTGATGAGCATAGCAGTTTCCATTTTCTTGATTGAAGCTTTGTGGGTTTGGCTCTTAGGTTCAGGGTGTGTCTCCCTGCCTAGGTCAGGGGCCCCACATTTCCCACATGCTGACATGGGAACTGGCCAAGCCCGTCATTAAAGGGCTGCCTGGAGGAAACACTCAACTGTGTTTGGTCCACAGGAGACTGACAAGCCGGCAGCAGAGCCTGATCCTGAGCTACGCTGAGGACGAGACCGACGTGGAGGGGACAGTGAACGGCATCACCAGCACCAGCACGGGTAAGGCAGCACGGCGACGTGCGGAAGTCCTCTCAGTTGGAGGATGCATAGTTCTGGAGCATGTTGGGGTTTCTGCTTACAGGGAGCAGGGTAGAGAGAGGGGAGCTGGGGCGCCTGGGTGGCTCAGTTGGTTAAGCGACTGCCTTCGGCTCAGGTCATGATCCTGGAGTCCTGGGATCCAGTCCCGCATCAGGCTCCCTGCTCAGCAGGGAGTCTGCTTCTCCCTCTGACCCTCCCCCCTCTCATGTGCTCTCTCTCTCTCTCATTCTCGCTCTCTCAAATAAATAAATAAATAAAATCTTAAAAACTATTAAAAAAAAAAAAGAGGGGAGCTGTGAGCTAGGAGGAGCTGAGTGCCAGCTGCACTCCTGAGTAAAGCCACCCTGACATGCTCTGTGTGCGCAGAGGTCAGGAGGTCAGAGAGTGCCAGCCTGCCTCCTGCCATAGAGCAGCGGTGTGTCTCCCAGAGCTGCTCTGCTGAGTTCTATCCCCGGTTCTGCCACTTGCCTTGTGACCTTGGGCACAACCCTACATGACATTCCTTGTAGCGGCTGAAGGAGAAGATGGATTGGAAGGCTTTCTGCAGTCCTGACCCAGAGCGCCTCACCGAGACCTCAGTAAAAAAGCCGGTCACGTGACTGCAGATCTGCCTGTGCATGGCAGGTCTGACTCTGAGTTCATCTGGCCATGAGCACATGCCTCATTCACCCTGCGCTCCAGTGTCATGCTCTGTCTGGAGTGTATCTACACGTTAGTGATTTGACCCCGAAATGCTGGCAGGCGTGAGCTTTGATGAAGGACACTGTGGCCGTGGCATCTCTTCCCGTGGGAGGTGGGGGTGCGCTGCAGAGGAGTGCTGGTCCTCTGTTGGTGGGGACAGGCTGTGCAGGTGCTCTGGCTTCAGCCACCCATGCTTCCTCCTCTTTGCCTCGTCATGTTTTTGTCTGGGTCCTGCACGCCCCTCCCATGTCCTCAGAGCCCGAATGGTCACTCGGGGCAGATGGTGGAAGTTTCCCAGGGAGTTGGAAGGCTTGGCCTGGGATCCCAGGGGTGGCGGTCCCAGCGGCAACGGTCTCTGCATGGTCTTTGTTGAGCTTCGTTGAGTCCAGGGGACCAAGTCCTCTGTGCAGAAGCAGCCACCACAATTCCTGTCTGTAGCCTGACCAAATGGAATGGTTTGGTGCTTGAACTTTTATATTCTTATTAACATCCCTTGAACTAAAAAGAAGTGGGAATAGCTCTTCCACCTAATTCTGGTTGTGCTCCTCCAGCGTCTTCCTGAATTGCACCCGTTCCCAGTCACCTAGCATGACTTGCTCTGCAGACACCCTAGCTTTCCTCCTCTCCCCACCTACGGGGAGCTTGACATCTGCCTGAGTGAGCCCACGATGGTGACGTGGGCCTTGTTCACTATATTAGAATGTTGGTGTTTTTATAAGTTCCTTACTGGTTGTTTAAATTGAGAGTTGATCATAGAGTCAGCTTATGAGTGTCCTTCTGACCCTTGTGGCTTTCATGGTTCCTTGTCCTGATAGCTCGTTCCTTTGCCTCTTGTTCAGCCAGGCTTTGTTGGGAACCTCACGTGTGCCAGACACTTTGCTAGTTCTTTTTAAATTTTTATTGACATAATTTTGCTGAGTGTAGCTTAACTTTAATATATGCACTGGATGCGTTTCTAAAAGTTGTTTATAAGGTGTAGTAGGTATGTCAAATTATTTTTCTTTTCCCATTCACTTTCATTGTCATTTCAGAGTTGTATTCCAGTGGAAAATTTGGCTCCCAGACATAATTTTTTATTTATTTTTATTTTTTAAAAAAGATTCATTTGGGACAGAGGGAGAGAGGGGAAGAGTGAGAGAGAGAGAGCACAAGCAGGGGGAGCAGCAGAGGGAGAGGGAGACTCCCCGCTGATCAGGGAGCCCAATGTGGGGCTTAATCCCAGGACCCCAGGATCATGACCTGAGCTGAAGGCAGATGCTTCACCGACTGAGCCACCCAGGCGCCCCTCAGATCACTTTTTTAACAGCCTCCAAATACATATGAGTCAGGGTGTCCTTGGAGACTGACGAGAGTCATCACAGATAAAAATTGATTCCTGGGTGTCTGCTTTCGTTAGGGGAGGGGGCACCTGGAAGGCATTTGGGATAGATACAGTTACATAGGAAACTGACCTAAAGCTTTGGGGGGATTTAGTATCCCTTGATTATTTTTGGTTCCTAATGCAGCTGGTGAAAACCTTAATGGCTGAGCCTAACTTCTTTCCCGGTCTGTGAACCAGAAAGTCCAGAAAGTCACGGTGTGCTTAGGGACTTTTAGGCTCGAGGCTAAGCAGTAGGACACGGGGAATCGGGACAGTCTGATGTTACTGTGTGACTTTTTGAGTTAAAGACAGTGTGGTTTATTTATGTTTCTGGATCATCGTTAATTCTTGGTGACAACACACATACGTACATTTAACTGTGAGTGTAGAAACCAGTTCCAGAGCTGATTATTTGGGTATCCCACCTGCTTTTTCTCTTCTCTGACATAGTTGACGGTGTTGACCTTTACACAGGGTGGAGGCAGGAAGAAGATGAAGGGAAAGACGTTTTAATAGAATGAGAGGTACTCTTGCTGGTTCAGCCTGTGCGTGTAGATGGCTCAGGGAGTCAGACTGTCAGTATAGACCTGCACCTCCACATGTAGGGTGACCCAGCCCTCAGAAATCAGATCCTGGAGTCCCGTTGGCCTCTTTCTTCAGACATATATTCATTGAGCATTTGTTTTGTGCTAAGGAATCATGTGCACAGACAGGGTCCCTGCCTTCAGCCAGCTTACAGATAACAGGAGAAGGTGGCAAGTGTTGAACCCCAGATACGTGCCAGACCCTCCTCATAACACTAGGACTTTGTGCTCATGGAGAAAACATTTTGGCCCCAAAACGTGGCACATATTCATGGGATGAGTATTACCTGTTACTCTCCCCTGGTATCACCTTATATATATAAACAGCCATCAAGCAGTTCTGACTTGGTATCCCTGCCTGTAGTAAGCTGGCATGTTCTTTGAATCCCCCAGCACCTTGCATAGCACCTGGTGCAAGGCTGCTCATAGTAAATGTTGGCTGAGTTTATTTGAATTCATTTTCCTAACCATCAGCTGAGAGATGCTCTGAGGGATGGGAGTGTAAGCCCTTCTCAGGAAAGAGGAGACCTGTGGCCTCAGCTTGGACCTCTGTCTGTGTTGGCTGGGCAGCCCCTCTGGCTGGAGTCACCTTCTGAAGGTGTAGACTAGAAATGCTCGTGTAATGCCCATTCAGCTGGAGTGGGCTTCCACCATGGGCATTTCCTCTTCTAAAGGCAAAAATCACATACTGGCTGTATTTACAGAAGCTTCAGAAGCCAAGTGCCGTTGTTGGTATCCCAGTCCTGAGATCAGCAGGCACCTGAGTGTCCAGGATATCCTGTAAGGACACGTCCCTCCTCCTGCCCCAGGCTAGAAAAGCAGTGTGTTTATAAACTTTGTCATCTGTGTACATAGTTTATTCCTGATGCTTGGTTCAGAATTTTAAATTCAGTGTTTATATCCTTTGATGTCCCTGCCAGTAAACCTTACTCCTGAAGGAGACTGTAGTCCTTGTATCCAAATTTAAAATAGAGATGAGGGGCGTCTGGGTGGCTTAGTCGGGTAAACGTCTGCCTTCAGCTCAAGTCATGATCTTGGGGTCCTGGGATTGAGCCCTATGTTGGGCTACCTGCGCAGCGGGGTGTCTGCTTCTCCCTCTCTCTCTGCAGCTGCGCACGCGTGCTCTCTCTCTCTCTAGTAAATAAATAAAATCTTTAAAAACATAAAATAGATGAGATGGTGTTCCTGGTTGTAGGGGGTAAGAATTTCTGGATGTGTGTCTATGTTTTGTTGTTTGTTTTTTTGTTGTTGTGAATCATTAACCAGTTAACTAGATGCTTTTTCTGGGGACTTTGGCCACCGTGGCTCACATGCCTATCGCCATGGGGCATAACTGCTTCCAGCCTTCCGGGTGACAAGGACAGCAGAGTTGGGGGAGGAGGGTGACAGCAGTCTTGAGTGTTTCTGTGCCCCATCGTGACTGGTAGCTAACAGCTTGGGTTCTGAGGTCTGCTGATGCGGGGCCCTGCTCTGCTGTTATTAGCTGGAAAGCCTTAGGCAAATCACTTCCCTCTCCAGGCCTCAGCAGTAGCATCTGTAAGTTGGAAATGATAATAGCACGTACTTCATGGGGTCCTTATATGATCAAATGAGATCAAGTAGGGAAAGCATCTGACATGGTACTTGGCCCGTGTTAAAAGCTCTGCCAGCTCTAACATAGCGACGCATGGACACACACAAAAGATTTGTCATCCCCGTAACAAGAACACAATGAAATTCAGTATTCTTGCTCTCCTGTGTCCGAGGAGGCCCAGGAGTGATGGGAAATTTCTGGTTTGTGTGTTGCTTTGTGTTAGGAGGGTCTTTGTTACTTAAGCCTTTATGTAAGAATGGGGACAGAAGGGACTAAGGGAAGGCACACATGGCCTAGTCATCTGTGGTAGTGGCACCTCTGCTGTGGTGATTGTTCAGTGCCCAGGTCCTCCGTGGGGGGCCCCTGGGAGTCGGGGATCACCCGGCCACCTTGGCTTTGGTGATTGCTCCAACCTTGGTTAGCACATCCTTGTTTCGGGCCACTGCTCTCTCTCTCAGCTCTGAGAGCATGCCAGGTGCATGGGACTGCCCAGGGGGCTGAACCCAGGACAGTCCTACCCACCCCTGCTTGGGAACTGGTACCCTGGCTGAGACCTTGGGGACCGTGACCATTTCTTCCTGTGCCACGCACCGTACTTGGCATATGCGTCCTAGCACATCAGTGATGTGCCCTACAGTTTAAAATGCTGAGTATGGGTGCATAGTCTAGCTCATGGCATTCGCATACCCTGCCTGCCTGCTGGTTGGCAGATCTTGAAAAGGATGTGCTTATGCGGCGGCCTTGATCGTAGCCTCTGCCTGGGCCCTGAAGATATAGCAGAGCAGCTTCCCTTTGTCTGGAGCATCTGGCTCAGATGCTTTTTTTTTTTTTAAGATTTTATTTATTTATTTGAGAGAGAGAGAGAGATAGCGAGAGAGAGCACGAGTGGGGAGGAGAGGGAGAAGCAGGCTCCCTGCTGAGCAAGGAGCCAGATGCAGGGCTTGATCCCAGGATCCTGGGATCATGACCTAGGCTGAAGGCAGCGGCTTCACCGACTGAGCCACCCAGGTGCCCCTCAGATGCTCTTGATAGGGAGTTTGCCCAGTGACATACAGGGTCCCCTGCTGCCATCGTTATAGGTTAGAAGAATCACACGTGTTGTGGGATTCCACGAGGCAGTGAGTCCCCTCCTTGAGTGTCCCGGAGACGTTAGGTGCACACATGTGGAGCATGGAAGCTGGTAGGTTGGTCTTGGCACGTGTTCTTCACCTTACAAGAGTCAGTGGCAAGGTTTTTAAGAGCTTGGGTTCTGGACCTGACTGCTTGGGTTTGAACTCCGTTCTCCCTCCCACCTACCAGCTCTGTCACCTTGGGCAAACTACCTAACCTCTCTGTGCATTTGTGTTTTGTGTTTTATTTTTTTTCATCTGTGAAATTTACTTGTAAAGAATTAAATGAGCTCCTGTGAAATCTTTGTGGCCTGTCCTGGATGGCATCTGGCACTTGGCGGTTGTGACAGTTGTTATGATAGAGGTAGCTGGTCATTGTCCCTCTCTGTGTCTTGTTTCCCTGTTGTGGGCCAGTGACTTGAGCAGTTGGGATACACTAAAGCACGGAGTGGCCTGTTTGCTTCAGTCATCTGACAGGCGAGGCTGCCCTGGCCAGCCTGGGAGTGGTCCCCTCCCCTCTCAGGCTGGTGCTTGGTGGTTTCTTGAGTGACCAGCCCCTGGGTGGCCAGGTGTGGGTAGGCGGGGCCAGGGATGGGACTCCTGGAGGTGGCGCCCTTCACCCCAGTTCTTTCTGCTGTTTGTGCCCAGGTGGCAGGACCATGGATAGCTCCGCAGGAGGCAAGGCTAGGCCTGAGGCTGGGGAGGACAAGGAGGGATTCCTTTCCAAACTTAAGAAAATGTTTACCTCCTGATACCTAGCCGAGGTAGGAAAACCCTGAGGTTTCTTCCCCTTTGTATCCCTGTGAACTAATCCCTCTTTTCCCTCACTTTAACCAATATCGTACCCCTGCTCCCTACTCCCAGCCTTGGAAGAGGTGCCAATCTAGGTGTGGTGTATCTGGCTCTACTCAGAACCAGGCCTCCTGGTCTGTGCAGATGCCTGCATCAGGGCAAGGTGCAGCCTCAGCCAGCAGCGCTGGGCTGAACCCAACCGCCCCAGCCATCCTGTCATGCCCACTTTCTGGAAAGGTTGCACTGGGGGGGCCGCCTCACAGCCCTCCTTCCACCAGCTGCCAGGGAAACCAGGCTGCCCACGGTCACAGAGGGCAAGTCATAGCAGAGCCAGGCCTAGAAGTCAGATCTCCCCAGCCTCCTGTCTGATTCATAGCACCCATCCTGCCTGGGAGGCGCAGGGCCACGTAAACCTCAGGGGGCTGCTGGGAGTCACGCTTGCTCACTGTGATGTCTTGGGACTTGCTTTTCACTTCTTCTGGTCCCTGGTGGCTGGGACTCCTGGTGTAGCCCCCTCCCAGGGATGACAGAAGCTCACCCACAGGGTGTCTTCCTCCTGGGATGCTGGTGAAACGTAACCATTTGTGTCTTGGCTCAGGAAAACGGTCCACTGGAAACTAGGCCGGGAGTAGCAGCCCCTCCTCGTGGCCAGGGCACCAGAAGGATTCCAGAATCAGCAGCACCGGGCCCCTTCTGGCAGAGGGCAACAGCAAAATCATGTGACAACATACGTCTCCACTGAATGGTCACGGGACAGCCCCTGGCAGTAGGGTGTGGCACGCGTAAGGGGTGGTAGAACTTTCCTGTCCATGGGTAGGTAACGTGCCCTCTTCTGGCTCAGGCGGAATAAAACAACTGGACACATCTTTCAGAGCTAAAACTCTAATTTGGAATCAAATGTGGAGATACTAGTTAAAGAATTAAAGGCCATGCTTACAGCTTAAAAATGAAGCCTTAAGCTGCACCGAGTCATGAAGTGATTAATTTCCCTCTCAGCAAACCTCCGAGAGGTTCTGGAATGAGTCTTTCCTTCCAGGTTGTCTTTCTGAGGAACCTGGGGCCTGCACGCCCCACCACATCATCCATCCTTCAGCAGAGACGTCCTATTTCCTTCCTGGAGTTTGTTTTAATTCCCAAAGATCCCAAGCAGCTGGAACGTGGGCACCTTGGGGCCTGGGGAGGCACATACCAAGGGCGTCCCTGGAGATGCCATTCCTGACCATGTGGGCCGTGATCTTTATCAGGACGGATAGTCCTTCCTTCCACAGTGTGGGGGGTGACCTCTCGTCCCCGACTGTTGAGTTCTGTTGTTCTAAGCCAGGCATGGGGCTCCTGCCTTTCTGCTGGACCACAGGTGGTCACGGCTGCAGCTGGGGCCCAGCAGGCTAACAGCCTGTTAACCCAGTGCCCTGGCCCCTCTGCCAGGGGCTTAGTTCTCACCACTCACCCTGTTGACATCTATTTTCAGAAGTGTGTGTAAGTTTTTCAATGCTGAGAATCATCGTCTTCTGTAGAAATGTTTGTTCAGAAAAGGAAAGCACAGTCTGAGCAGTTGAAGGTTTCACCGTCCAGCCAGAGCAAACCACAGTCCCTCAGCCTCGGCTTGTAGGATGTACGGGCTCCATGTGTTTCCAGATCCTACCCCTGTGGTAAGACAGGCTAATGGAGAAAACTTATGAATAGTTTCCTTTTTGTTTTCCTTCATAATTTACTAAAATAAAGTATCTATTACTGTCTGATCTAAGAATGTAAAATGATTCTATATCAATGTAAATAAGATATTACTGCAAAAAGATATTTAAAGCATAAATTGTGGTCATTTCTTCTTTGAAATTTGAATTCAAACCACTTTCTACAGGGTGCTTAGCAGTGGGGTTGCTGGTGTTCTGTCTACTGACAGGGCTGTCCCACATCACTGCTGGCCTTCCTGTGGCCGGCTGGAGAGGTAGCTGGCCTTGTCTACGGAGTCGCATCGGACCTGGAGCATATGCACACTGGTGGCTGGGTGGTGCTCTGACAAGCCCTGACCTCCCAGCCCAGATCCCAGAGCAGGGAGCTTGCCATGGGACAATGTGCTGATTGGATTGAATGTTCTGAAATTCAGAGAGCCCACGAGAAGATGTGCATGTCACTGTCTCCCTCACTAGATTTTTTTTTTTTTAAGATTTTATTTATTTATTTGAGAGAGAGAATGAGATAGAGAGCACGAGAGGGAAGAGGGTCAGAGGGAGAAGCAGACTCCCTGCTGAGCAAGGAGCCCGATGCGGGACTCGATCCCGGGACTCCAGGATCATGACCTGAGCCGAAGGCAGTCGCTTAACCAACTGAGCCACCCAGGCGCCCCTCACTAGATTTTTTTGCCCTCTATTATTTTCAAAGGAACAGTGATTATTTATTTATTTATTTATTTACTTACTTATTTATTGTGTTACAATTTTTGTTCATTGTAGTTTAACTAGTTGGGGTTCCCAGCTGAGGCTGTCTCAAAAAAGCCCCGATGCCCGGCACAACCAGAGTGGCCCTGAGCACAGAGCTCAGACCCATCCCCGGGCTCTGGGCTGAGCAGGTGAGCTGTGGGAGCCCTTGCGGGGCTGGGTGAAGAGGTTGGAAAGAGCTGGTGGGCACAGAGAGGAGTGGAGAAGTAGGTGGGGAGGGAAAGGTGCACGAGTGGATGAGGCTGACCTGGGCACGAGCCTGGCTCCGACCCACCGGCAGGTCTCTGCTCGGATTTGTTTCCCACCTGAGCCATTCTCTTCCTCTTGAGGCCTTTGGGTTTGGGTGGACTTGAATGCTTGCTTCTCTGTCATGAAAACCCCTCCTCAAAGTCGACAATCCCCTCCAGTCTCACAAGCTTCTTGGCTACCTAGGTGTCCAGAGACTGCCCTACCCTCGCTCTGCCCTTCTGCTGCACTGGGGTCTGTCACTGAATTCGGATACTTACAGCTCTTGCTGAGGTATGTTTTAGCGCTGGGAAACCTGTACTTTGCATCTCTTATTTTTTTTTGGATCTTATTTTAATTTTCTAAATTTTTTTTACTGTTTAAAGATTTTATTTGAGAGGGAGTGGGAGTGATCGAATACGAATGGGGGTTGGGCAGAGGGAGAAGCAGATTTCCCGCTCAGCAGGGAGCCTGATGCGGGGCTTGATCCCAGGACCTGAAGATCATGACCTGAGCCGAATGCAGACGCTTAACTGCCTGAGCCACCCAGGTGCCCCCCAAAATCTTATTTTTAAGTAATCTATACACCCATGTTGGGGCTTGAGCTCACAACCCCGAGGTCAAGAGTCACACACACTACCAACAGACCCAGCCATGCGCCCCATCTTTTTTTTTTGTTTAAAGATTTTATTTAGGGGCACCTGGGTGGCTCAGTCATTAAGCATCTGCCTTTGGCTCGGGTCATGATCCCAGGGTCCTGGGATCGAGCCCCACATCGGGCTCCCTGCTCAGCAGGAGGCCTGCTTCTCCCTTTACCACTCCCCCTTTTTGTGTTCCCTTTCTCGCTGTGTTTCTCTCTGTCAAATAAATAAATAAAGTCTTTAAAAAAATTTATTTGTCAGAGAGAGAGTACAAGCAGGGGAAGGGGCAGTGGGAGAGGGAGAGGGAGAAGTAGGCTCCCCACTGAGCAAGGAGCCCAGTGCGGGTCATGATCTCAGGACCCTGGGACCACCTGAGCCAAAGGCAGACACTTAACAACTGAGCCACCCAGGCGCCCTGGGCATCCAGATTTTTATGTGGAGATTGTAGTTACTTCATTTTTGAGGTAACCTGTATTCTACAGTTCACCCATTTAAAGTGTACAATTTAGTGAATTTTAGTTCAGTGCTGTGCAACCATCACTACAATTTTAGAACAGTTTCGTCACCCCGAAGAGAAACCCCACGTCCATTAGCAGTTACTCCCTATTTCCCCGGGTCCCCCAGACCTGGCAACCACGAATCTGCTTCCTGCCTCTATGATCCGCCTATTTGGCACATTTCATATAAATGGAATCATACAGTATGTGACCTCTTCTGGTTCCTTCTGGTTTCACTTCATATAATGTCTCAAGGTTCATTCCTTTTGTAGCATGAATCAGTTCTTATTCCTTTTTATGGCTGAGTAAATTCCATTCTGTGGATAGACCACATTTATTTTCCATTCATTCCCTGATAGGCATCTGAGTTATTTCCAGTCTTTGGCTATTATCAATAACACTATGAAAGCTGTCTCATTTTAAAAATGTTGGCAGCTACTTAGATAAGGTACTTAGGAGTAGTCAAGCTCATAGACACAAAGTAGAATCGTTTATGCGGGGCCAGGGGGTGGGTGGGGTGGGGAAGGGAATGGGAAGTTAGTGTTTAATAGGAACGGAGTTTGGGAAGATGAGAAAGTTCTGGAGATGGATGGTGGTAAGGGCTGCACAACAGTGAATATAATTAATGCCACTGAACTGTACCCTTAAACATGACTAAAACGGGGGGCATCTGAGTGGCTCAGTCAGTCAGGTGTCCGACTGTTGGATTCGGCTCAGGTTGTGATCTCCGGATCCTGGGATCAGGCCCGTGTCAGGCTCTGTTCTGAGCATGAGCCTGCTGGAGTTTCTCTCTCCCTCTCCTTCTGCCCCTCCCTGTCTCTCTCTTGCTCTCTCTCAAATCTTAAAAAAAAAAAAAAAGACTAAAACGGTAACCTTTGTATTTTACCACAGTTAGGAAAGTGAGAAATGACACCTAACTACTGTATTTCAGGCACCAGATTTCAGAAAACCAGGCACGCATGGCATCCATCCAGCTGGGCCACCTCCACCAGCAGCAGGGGGTTGTGGTGCCTGGCGTCATCCCCTCTGTGTGGTGCTGAACCAGACTCCCCAGCACTGGGTGTGACCCACATGCACGTCCTTCCTGTGATGACGGCAAAGGCAGGGCACCTCAACTTCAGTGTCCAGGGTGCGGGAAGGGCTGGGTTTCTCTCCAGCCCCATTTGGTTATTGCCAAGAGACAAGAGAAGAGGGTCGACATGAAAGTCCATTACAGATCAGATGGTTTAAAATACTAGGATTGGGAGTGCCTGGGTGGCTCAGTCGGTTAAGCATCTGCCTTTGGCTCAGGTCATGATCCCAGGGTCCCGGGATGGAGCCTGGCATTGGGCTCCCTGCTAAGCAGGGAGACTCCTTCTGCCTCTCCCCCTGCTTGTGCTCTCTCTCTCTCTCTCAAATAGATGAAATCTTTAAAAAAACAAAATAGGATTATTTTGTAACATACCTTATTTTTTAGAACAGTTTTAGGTTCTCAGCAAAACTGAGAGGAAAGTACGGAGATTTCCCATACACCCTCTGGCCCCACACGCACAGCCTCCCCTACTATCAACACCACCAGAGCGGGACACTTGTTCCAACTGATAAACCTGTACTGATACATCATCATCACCCAAAGTCCACGGTTTACATCAGGGTTCGCTTTTGGTGGTGTACGTTGTGTGGGTTTGGACAGATCCATCATGACATTATAGCATCATAGAGTAGTTTTACTTCTGAGGATTTGGGTTATGTGCACAGTGTGGATAGTTCATAGCACGTGGAGCATCCTGATTGTTGCGCACAGTTCTGCTTCACTGGCTTTGGGATGTGGACTGTTCCCACTGAGGTCAGCTGCTTTGGCCACACATGGGATGGGGTCAGTGGGTGCCACCCTTTACGAGGGACAGAGAACAGGCCGAAGGGCACTGGAGCCTAGCAGGGTTTGACCGTGTGTGTCAGGAGAGGGAAGGTGACCCAGAGGTGTCAGACACTTTCACAAATGATTTCATGGTGCCCTTGGAACAGACTGGCCAGGTAGCACCAGGTAAGCAAACTGGCGAGGCTCAGCGATGTGCCCAGGTCCTGTCACTTTGGAACCCAGTGTGGGCTCGCTGGTTTGCTCTGCACCTGGGGCTCCTCCCAGGCTCCGTACTGACCTCCGGCCACTCCCAATCTCATCACAGTGAGTCTCAGCCTCAAGCAGGTGAATTTCCCACCCTGAGACCTGGGGGACTTGGCTCACATAGGGCTGGACGCAGATGGCCTGTCATTCTCTTGGAAGCCCACACTGTCACAGTCTTCTTTCCTGCCCTGTGGGGGAGGAGGGGCTTGCTGCCCTTCCTTCAGACCTCAGAGGCTGTCCCTGTCCCCCTAAAGTAGGCCCCCTCCTCCCATTATTATCTGTGCCACCTCTTCTCTGCAGCCCTGTGTCAATCTATGAGTATTTATGCATATTTGTATCTGGTTCTCCCACCAACCTAAGCTCCTCAAGGAGGAGAGCATAACCTTTTTGGTTAACGTGTTTAGGTTGTCAAATGCTCTTTCAAGTAATCAATGGATCGAATGTATGTGGTGGGACTTGGGTAGGATGGAGGTTATGCAAATCCGTAGACGAAAAACAAGCCTGCCATGGGGACTCCGGTACATGACCTGTGTTCTCTGGGCGTTGACCTTCCTCTTTTCTAAAGTGAGCAGGAGAAGTCAAACGAGCCCTGCCATCCCAAGCCTGTGAGCACGCCACCAGCGAGGCCTCGCTGTCACTTCCTTGACTTTGCCTCCCCCAGCCTTTGCTCTAAGCGCATCACCCATTTTCAGCGGTGTGCAATCATGGCGACCTCGGCTCCACAGTCTTTCACTGCCCTTCACATGTTCTGCCTGGCCTGAACATCACCCACATCTCAGGGCTGCCGCAAAAGGGGGAAGGCCCCATCCCGGAGGGTGACACCTTCAAGCTCCAAGAAGGAACACGCGGTTGGCCTCACCAGCTGTCAACAGGCATGGCTTGTTGGCTGGCTTGGGGAATCCCCTCTGTGCCCTGGACGGTCCAATGTAGTCGAAGCAGCGGTCAGAGCTGTGGTCACAGCGCTGTCTCCCACCTACTGGACGAAACTTACAACTGCATTTATATCCTGTGAGCCCTCCCATCCCCGGCAGGGGAGGGGTGCTGGGCCCCCACCACTTGATGCTTCCTTTTGGAATTTTCATGCCCCAGCAGCTGCCACCCCAACCCCAGTCCCTGAAACAAAGCCCTCTTCTTTTGGAACCCATCTGTGAGAACAATGGCCTTTATTTAAGAAATAATTTTTTTTGTAACACAAGAACGGATCACTGTGATACCTCCCCGTGCCCCCAGACGGGGCTGAGAGGTGGCAGGGTCAGAGCCCAGCAAAGTCTCCTTTGTGCTGCTCCAGCCACTGGTCCAGAGTCCTGGCCTTGGGGTTGAGCCTCAGGGTCAGTTCGATGTCACGGTCAGGTTTCAGGGCATAGAAACGGAACATGTTGGCCAGGTCCCGGGCTCCAGGGAAGCCATACTTCTCGTAGTCCTCCGGAGTCGTCTAGAAACAGAGGGGAGTCTGTTGGGTCTGTCAGCATCTCTGTCACCCCAGCTGTAAGCAACCCAGTCCCGACCCAAGTCCTTTCCAGTAAGTTCATCTGAAAACCCTTCTACTAAAAAGATTAAAGTTCAAAAACCACTGTTTTAAGTCAACTTAAATCCTGTTCTTTCAAGGTGCGCCTGGCTGGTTCAGTCAGAAGAGTGTGCGACCCTTGATGTTGGGGTCATGAGTTAGAGCCCCACATTGGGTGTAGATATTACTTAAAAAAAAAATCATAAATCCTTTTGAGTTCTTTTGAGATCATGAGATGGAAACTTCTCAGTCCTTTCCAAACCAGAACTCTGCAAACATCACTTTCTTGCTCAAAAACCAAAGCTGTTCCCTTTTCCTGATGAAACTGAATGTAAACTCAGCTCCTGAAATCCTCCACAGCTGCATCAGACCTTTCTTTGTTGAGATGTAATGCACGGCCATTTAGGGCATGTTTTCTAGAGCACCTCCTTGCACTAAGGAAGCACTTAACATCAATTATTCCGTTCAGTCCTAACAACCAGGGAAGGAGATACTATTCATACAACCATTTTATAGATGAGGATACTGAGGCAGAGAGGGTCTGGGACTGTGCCTCAAGGTCACACACTGGTGGGTGTTAAGGGCTGAGAGCAGGATCTGAGTCTGGGGAGTCTGACCCACCTGAAACACGCCCTGCCATGGCGTCCCCATCATTGCTCTGCTCGGGTCTGGGGGCTCTGGGGATGGTTTTTATCTTTCAATGACTTGGGAGTTTCCCCAGGTTTTCTTTAATAAGAAAATTTCTTTAATAAGTCAGTCTCACTACCATAATGGGAAGAACCAGTAAGAAAGAAAACTTTCTTTACTAAGTCAGTCTCACTACCATAATGGGAAGAACCAATAAGAAACAAGGCACCCGGGGTTCTGAACAGGAAGACTGAGGGTCAGCGGGGAGAGGGGGCCAGAGGGCCTCCCACCCTCCCAGCCAGGCCAAGAGGAGACAGGGTGGGGCCCATCTCTCTGGTCTCCTTCCCCTTCCCTCCCTCAAGTCACACCCCAGAGAAGCCCAGCACCCCTTTGTGTTCATGCCTTGCCTTGGACCTTCATATCCCCTCTTCCTGGAAACTTCCTCGCTAGTCAGTCAACTGCCTAAGCCAGACCTGGCTCCCAAGTACAGCATGACAAAAGTTCACAGTGATGAATTAAGATTTACCCTGCCCGGAGTGAGGGGGCCGCCCAAGATACTGCTTCCCTACCACCCATAAAGCCCCCACTAGGGGTGAGAGTGACCAGACCGGGGTGCCAGAGCCCCCTGGTAGGAGCTGGGACGGCACCCATCCCGGGCCCAGGGCCGCGGGAGCCCACCTTGGCGTTGCACACGGTCTTCCCGGTGTGCTTGGAGAGCAGGGCGGCGTACTCTGCTGCTGTGTGCTTGCAGGTGCTGAGCCCAATGTTCCGGCCGACGTATTCTTCCGGCATCTTCAGCAGGCTGAGCACCACGGGACCCAGGTCGGTCACAGATACGCCATCCATGGGCACATCACCCATGGGCAAGCCTGGGGGGGGAGGGGTGTGCTAGCACATGTTCCTGCCATGCCCACCGCCAGGACACGGGCACAGGTCACAGCGGCAGTGGGCTTCACTCAGGAAACGGGTTGCGATCCGAGCTCTGCCACCTTGGCCCCTGTTTACGCCCTGAGCCCTGGTTGCTCCATTTACAGAGTGGGGCAAATGCTGGGCCTGCCCACCCTCCCGGGGCTGAGACAGGAACGGGAAGGAAATGAAGGGGCTGCTCCCAAGCTGCCAGCCCCCGTGCACTCTGTGGTATCTGGGATTCCTGACCTGGAAAGCCAGCTACGCTAACAGGAATGCCGGATGCCACGGCCAGGGACTGGCCCAGAGTGGCACGTGGCAGGTGCTCCCTAAATGTGGAGTGTGGAGTGTGGAGTCGGTGGGTGACTCTACCTGCCAAGGTGGTCTGGTGGCTGGGAAGGCAGAGCAGGAGCACTTGGGTCCTGACGCTTTCCACGCCCATGAGAAGGGTCCACCACAGCTGCCCATCACCCAGAGACCTTGTGGGGACAGAGTTCAGCTAGTCGGAACACAAGAGGTATCCCCGACCAGCTCTGCAAACTATAAAAGGGCGATGCCAGTGTGCCAACACCAGGCCCAGACTGCTCACCGTCCCTGCTGTTCACGCACAGGGGAGGGGTGGCCGGCTGAGGACCCTGGCCAACCACAGGACACAAGCTGCCTAAGGTTCCCTGTAGCCCATTTACAGACGGAGAAGAAAGTGCTTTCCTACTCTGTGACACCTACCACTGGACCTGATCCTCCAAGTCCTCTCCTTACTCCCAAAGGAGAAGTAACAAGTGTGCTCGTCTCTGGGATGAAGCATCGCATGACTGCCTCCTGACAGATTTTCTCATTGCCCCTGCAGGAGTCAGTCACACCCATTTCACAGAGCAGGAAGCAGAGGCCCAGCGAAGTTACATGCTTTGTGCACAGTTACAGGCCTAACGTGAGGGAACCAGGGCTTGGACCTGGAACCATCTGAGGACAAGCCTGTTTTCTACAACACCCACAGCACCCCTCAGAGTGGACGGTCAGGAAGGAGGAAGGGCACTCACTCAGCAAGTAGCTTTTTCCATCAGGCGCTTTCTGGGGCAGGAAGTAGGAGAGGAGGTTCTCAAAATAGCAGGACAGCCGCACACTGGTCATGGGAACTCCAATGTCCCGGAAATATTCCTCTACCTCCCCTTTGCCATCAAAGTGGCCTGCTGCCAGTTTCCCAGCCGTCAGCCTCTTGATGTTCTCCAGGCCGCTGTAGACCACGTAGTGAAGGCCCAGGCTCTTGGCCAGATCGGCCAGCAGCTTTCCCTGGTGAGAAGGAAAGGAGAAGACACAAAGCTAAGAGGGAAGATGTGTGTCCCCAGTCAGGGCCCTGGCTCTCCCACCCCCGTTGCCACTGTGCCTGATGCTAAGAGGCCGACACCACTTCACCCTCTGATAAGGCTCCCTCTTCTGGAATGATGCTCGCACGTGGTACCGTGCCCTCTCACACACCACTATGAGCCTTCTGTCTTAGCGTCACTTCTCCAGATCACCCGGGTGGTTGTACTTCCCGATATGCTCAACTGCGGCCCACCCATGTGCACTGTGATGGGTGGGGGTAGGTCTTCTGCTTGGGAGAGGGCTGCACGGAGCTCTCCCACCTCTGCCTGCTCCATGCAAAGCCATGCTCCTTGAAGGGCCCCAGCAGGCCGCTAAGGAGGTGGTACAGCTCAGGGATGAAGCACAAACACTGCTCAGGGACCACACCTGCTCTGCAATGCACTAGCCTCGAGATCCTGGACCAGCGACCTAACCTTCTGGCAGCGGTTAAACTGGGACAGCCACACCACCTACCACATAAGAATGTATAGGGGGTTGAATGGTGGCCTCCAAAAAGGTATGTGCACATCCTAACCCCCAGAACCTGTGAATGTGACCTTATTTGGGAAAAGAAATCTGCAGATATAGTTAAGGAACTTGATATCATCCCAGGTGGGCCCTCAATCTGAGGACAAGGGTCCCTATAAGAGACTGAAGAGGAGACATGGAGAGGAGTAGGCCACATGAAGGTAGAGACTGCAGGGATGTGGCCACGAGGAGAGCCAGCAGTCACCAGAAGCTGGAAGAGGCAAGGAGTGGAATCGCCCTTAGACCCTCCTTCTGAAGGCTCCTTGATTTTGGACTTCTGGCCCCCAGACCGGAGAAGAGTCAGTTCCTGTTGTTTTAAGCCACTTGGCTTGTAGTGGCGGCCACGGGATGCGAACATAGGCAGTTGGGATAATGAGCCAAGACTGCCATCCATCAGAAAAGCTGTCCTCTCCACTTTGTGGGATGGGCTTCCACGTAAGATGTATTCAAAGACAATATCAAGGGGCGCCTGGGTGGCTCAGTCGTTAAGTGTCTGCCTTCGGCTCAGGTCATGGTCCCAGGGTCCTGGGATCGAGCCCTGCATCGGGCTCCCTGCTCGGCGGGAAGCCTGCTTCTCCCTCTCCCACTCCCCCTGCTTGTGTTCCCTCTCTTGCTGTGTCTGTCAAGTAAAAAAACAAAACAAAACAAAAAAAAAAACAAAGACAATATCAAGGCTAAAAACAAGTCTGGAGACCAGTGGTGCAGTCCAATCTCCCTTTATTTTATGAAGGCCCTTTTTCCTAACAAAGCCCAGGGCACGGAAGGCCCACGTCCAAAGCAGGGCTGTGGATGACGCAGGGCTGAAAGCTAATGTGCTGGCCAGTCAGCAGGGTCCTCTCCTCTGCCACCACATTCCACAGATCCCTGAGTATCTGTGTGTGACGGGCTCTGTCAAGTGTCCCCATCTTCAGTGGGATAGAACGATGGCCATGTTTCACGTTTCCTATCCCTCCCCGTGCCGCCTGGGCTCAATAACCAACTAACTAGAGAGAATGTGCATGGAAAACAGAATAAACCGAAACATACAACACGTCAAAGGGGACACAGGGACTTTCTGGGCTGATGGAAATGTGTTCTGATTAGATTGGTAATATGTGAGTATATTTATATTCAAATTTTATCCAACAGTACAATTAAAATGTGTGCATCTTATTATCACAAAATGATAGGTCAACAGAGTTGGTTTTTTAGAAAGTAAAAAGTTACTGGATGATAAAGTAGCCTGGAGCTGGGGGAGGGAGGAACTGGGAGTGACTGCTAATAGGTACGGGTTTCTTTTCAGGGTGACAAGATATTCTGGAATTAGGTGGTGGTGATGGCTGCATAACTTTGAGAGTATACACTGAATTATACACTTTGAAAGGGCAAACTATGGTGTCTGAATGACATCTAAGCAAAAGTTACTGGAAGAGGAAGCAGCTGCCTCCCGCGCTCATTAAAGTCCAGGAGGACTGCACGGAAGAGGAAGGAAAAGGCCTGCAGTGGACAGTGGTCACAGGCAGGGTCAGCCCCTCTCCAGAAGTTGGAGCTGCCTCCCAGGGAGCTCCTTGTAAGATGCCCTGCTCCTAGGCCAGCCTCCCCACATCTTCCCACCTGCCCTCACCTGCTTGACCTCCTGCTCCTGGCTGCAGTTTTCCCAGTAGTTGGTCACAATGAAGGCAGCATGGGCCCCACTAAGGGCCAGCTCCATGCTGGCCTTGTCATCCTGGTCTCCCCGGACCACCTCTGCACCCTGCAGCCTCAGCTCCTTTGCTGCCTTCTGCCCAGGGTCCCGCGTCACCACTCGAACCCTGAACGTCCCATCTTCCAGGAGCGTCCGGGCCACTGAGCCCCCCTGAGCACCTGTGAAGAGACAGAAAGACCTGCAGGGTGGGACCTGCCTGGGGGTCCTGCTCAGGGGAAGCCCCAAAGGGAACGCTCCCCACCAGCCAGATACCCAGATGCTTTTCACCTGTGATCCTCACTGAACGCCTTACACCATTTAAAAAATAACAGCTTTATTGAGATAGAATTCACTCACCTTTTAAAGGGTAGATAATGTGTATTTATTTAAAAAGTATTTTGGAAAATCCATATACTAGTTGGCTGATTTTACCCAGAGTAAACAAATACTTATACTGGGCAACTGAGACTTCTCCCACCATGCACGCATTATACTTGCCTCGAATTTCACCGGTAACTCACCGCTTCAGGTCAAATAAATACATAAAGCGTACAGTGCAGTGGTTTTTTGTATATTCAGAGCATGCAACCATCATCACAGTCAATTTTAGAACATTTCATTCCTCCCACCCCCCAAGAAAACCCATGCCCATCAGCACTCACTCCCTATTGCCCTCCCTCTCAGCCCTGGAAACCACTCATCTCTATCCATCTGCCTATTCTGGATGTTTCACACAAATGGGATCATACAATATATAGTCTGCTGTGTCTGGCTTCTTTCACTTAGCATACTGTTTTCAAAGTTCCTCCATGTTTTAGCAGGCATCACACCTTTTATCAAATGTTTGAAATGTGGGACACCTGAGTGGTTCAGTCGGTTAAGTGGCTGCCTTTGGCTCAGGTCATGATTCCGGGGTCCTGGATGCATCGGGCTCCTTGCTCAGTGGGGAGCCAGCTTCTCCCTCTCCCTCTGCCTGCCTTATAAATAAATAAATAAAATCTTTAAAAAAATGTTTAAATGTATTATGGGGCAGCTGGCTGCTTGGGAGGTAGAAAGAGCAACCTCAGGGTCATGAGTTTACTTGTACAAAATATATAAGTAAAATGTATTACTGTTTATTTATTTAACACATACACAAAGGGATGTCAAAACCCATGTACCCACCCTTTAGCTTAAGAAATATAGTATTACCTACCATCTTCTTCCTTTTTTTTTTTAAAAGACTGAGGGGCCCCAGGCTGTCCCAGTCAAAAGAGCATGCAACTCTTGATCTCGGGGTTGTGAGTTTGAGCCCCACTTTGGGTGCAGAGATGACTTAAAAATTTTTAAAAATTAAAAAAAAAAAACCTTTAAAATAGATTTAAAAATGACTGAGAGGGGCGCCTGGGTGGCTCAGTTGTTAAGCGTCTGCCTTCGGCTCGGGTCATGATCCCAGGATCCTGGGATCGAGCTCCACATCGGGCTCCCTGCTCGGGAGGAGGCCTGCTTCTCCCTCTCCCACTCCCCCTGCTTGTGTTCCCTCTCTCGCTGTCTCTCTCTCTCTCAAATAAATAAAATAACATCTTTAAAAAATAATAAAATAAAAAAATGAAAAAATGACAAAAAGTAAAATCATCAAAAGGAATAAAAAAAAATCATCCATAAATATATGTATAAGAAAATTGGCTGTAGCACCATTTGCAATAGTGGAAATTTGTAGACAAATGACGTGTCCTTGGGTAAGAATCTGGTTAAATAGTCGGGCTCCCTGCTCAGCGGGGAGTCTGCTTCTCCCTCTACCCTTCCCTCCTGCTCATGCTCTCTCTCAAATAAATAAAATCTAAAATAAAAAAAAAAGAAAGAAAGAAAAAAGCATCTCGTTAAATAAGTGATCGATCCATGCCAAAGTGATTGAAAAGAATGTGGCACATCTGTATGTATGACTTGCACAGGTAAACATGAACTCTCCTGGAGTGGAAAAGGTAAGGTGCAGAAGTACAACTACCCTCACACAGTACTGGTGGGAATGTAAAATGGTGCAGTCACTTTGAAAAACAGTCTGGTGGTTTCTCAAAGGGCTAGACACAGAGTTACCATATGATCCAGCAATTCCAGTCTAAGCATGTACCCCCCAAATTAAAAACATGCCTACATGAAAATTTGTACTTGAAATGTTCCCAGCAGCATTATTCACAATAGCCAAAAGGTGGAAACAAATCAAATGTCCATCAATGGATGAGTGGATCAACATGATGTGGTCTACCATAAAATGGAATATTATTCGGCTATAAAAAGAAGTGGGGTACTGACACACGCTGAAAAGTGGGTGAACCTTGGGGCGCCTGGGTGGCTCGGTGGGTTAAGCATCTGACTTTTGATTTCGGATCAGGTAGTGATTCCAGGGTCACTCTGGGTATGGAGCCTGCTTAAGATTCTCTCTCCCCCTCTCCCTCTGCTCCTCCTCCCCACCCCAAACCCCCCAAAAAACAAAAAAAAACCCCAAAGTGGATGAACCTCAAAAACATGATGCCAAGTGAAAGAAGCCATTCACAAAAGGCTACATCCTGTATGATTTCATTTACAGGAAATGTCCAGAATGAGCAAATCTACAGACAGAAAGTAGACTGATGGCTACCAGGGGCTGGGGAAAGTCCGGAGAAATGCTAGTGGGTATGAGGTTTCCTTTGGGAGTGACGAAATGTTCTAAAACGGCCTGTGGTGATGGCCAGAGAGCTCTGTGCATATACTTAGACATCAGCGAACTGCACACTTTAAATGGGTGAATTGTACGGTATGTGCTGTATACCTTAAGTAGTTCTATGATTTTAAAAACATATACAGGAATGAAAAAAAAACAGATGGGGCAAAATAAGACCTTTTACCATTTAAAAAAATAATCTTTGTGTCTCTCTAACCTGGTAGGATACTCTAGAAACTTGATGACAGTGATGGATGGGGTTGTCAGGACGGAGGTGGGAGGGAGATTTAGTTTTGGTACTAAGTGGCCCGTGAACATAGTACCAAAACTAAATCTCCCTCCCGGGATGGGGGCTGTGCGCCCAGGTGCTGCCCCCATCCCGGCCCCACCCCACCCCCAGCCCCGGCCGGGTCAGGGGTTCGAGACGCAGCACCCTCCCTCCAGGCCCCATCCACCCACCCTGGGCTCCGCGGGGCTGCGCTCGCTCACCTGTGGCTCCAAACACCACCACCAGTTTCTTGTCCGCCATGCGAGCCCGCGCGGGATGTGCGGTCCCGGAGGCCAGGGGGCGGTGGGACGCGCGAGGTCTGTGATGGGGCCACGGGTCCCTCCTGGGACGACCCCGCGCGCACACCGTGTGGGCCCAACGGGCGCCAGACACCCCGACCCCGTCCCCCACCTCCCGCACGATGCCCCCGGCCGCCGCGATCTCCACGCCCCAACCCGGGTGGGAAACCTTGGAGCGGGAACGGTGGGCCCCGGGCCTTGCAGCCGAGTTCACCGCCGGGGGCGGGTGGAGGGAAGAGGTGTGGAACCTGCGAGAAGACTGACCCCGCCCGCAGCTCCTGCCCCGCCCTGGCAAAGCCGCCCGTCCCCAGTCGTCCTGCGGGAAGGTATCCCAGGCCGCGCTGCTTCGGGACTCCCAGGGTCCGGGCCCTGACTCCGCGCGGAGCTGACCCGCCATCCCCCCCTCGGCGGGCATAGATGGTTCATCCCGGATCGCGCGAGCCTGGGCGTGCGTCCGCGCCGCGCAGCCCGGGCGGCTTGCGGCAACTGGATTTGCCGGCCTCCTGGGCTCCCGGAAGTGCATGTGCGGAGCAGCTTGGCGGGAGGCTGGCGGTGAGGCCTACGGAAGCAAAAAAACAAATAAAAACAGAAACAAAACACACGGCTTTATCTTGCATGAACATCTGGAACTTGCAGATACGGGGTGTCAGCTAAAGATAATTAAACAGCATCTGGGACTCTCAAACCCCAGGGCTCTGAGTTCTTGCAAGCCTGGCTCACCTTTGAGGTTGCGACTAGTTGCAGTGATCTGAGTTATTTTTAGCAGAAAAAGATTTCTCTGTGTTCAACTAAAACTTAAAAATGGCTCTGTTCCTCCTCTCCTGAAAACTTATTACTGGGTAATAATTTTTTTTCTTTCATTTACTCATTCATTTCAAAATGTGTATTGACCCATCCGGGAATGTCAGCTTCGGAACAGCAGGCGCATCTCTGTATTCACTGCTCTATTTCCAGGACTTAGCACAGCACCTGGCACGTAGGCGCTCAATAAATATTTGCTGATTGACCCGTTGTCTAAACATCTAGACACTGGAGTTCCCGGGATACCCAACTAAAACTGATGCTGTTTTCCCGAATCCAGTGGTGGAGATAACTTACAGGGTAATATGTATTTTATTTATGTAAAATATTGGTCTTTATTATAAGATGCATGTATTTATTTTAATACATATTATGTTTACTGGTGTTTATAAATGAAGATTTCATCTATGTGTTCATCTTGCATAAAGCTTTTGCAGTCTCCTCCACATCCTGTTATGTTATGTCTCTATGCTGAGACTGTAATGTTTGCCTGGGTAGGACTCACCACGTTAGATAGATAGAGCTAATCCTTACTCATTCCTTAAGATTCCACATAGCCATCACCTCCTCCAGGAAGCCCTTCCAGGACCCCTAAGCTAGGCTAACTACTCCTATTCTATTCCCATCTCTATCCCACTGGTAAAATTGTCTACCATAGTGGGAGGGCTTCCTGAGAGCTGGCCTATGTCATGTTTGTCTCTGTATCTCTTCTTTCTGGCACCATATCCAGCATTTACTAGGAGCTCAATTAATACCTACTAAATGGAACCCAAGGCATATTACTGTGTTAAAAGATGATGTTTTTCTTCAATTACATAAAGATAAAGCATAAAACCCAATGTCTCAAGGTCTCCACTTTAAGGAAATAAATCCAAACAACAAGGCATGTAGCAGGACCAGCTGCAGAGTTTGCAAGGCCTGGTGCATTATGAAAATGCAGGACTCCTTGTTCAAAAATGATCAAGAATTTCAAGAAAGCAACAACAGAGCATTAAACCAAGTGTGAAGGCCTTCTCAGAGAGGGACCTGTGCAAATGTTGGGGTTACAAGCCCAGGAAGCCAGCCCTGGTGCCCAGGTTTAATTGAGTAGCATCCCAGGGACACAAGGAACTCAAGGGACACAAGGAACTCCATGCCTTTTGGCCTTCCAACCTACAGCTTGGAAATCAGTGCAGGCAATGAGTGGCAGAATGGCATCTCTGCCCCTGGGCTTCTGGTTACTGGTGCTGGTGCCAGGGGTTCTGTCTGGAAGTGGGTAGGTATAATTGACAGCCTGGGCAAAGGTCTTGTCTCTTGCAGCCACACCCAGCTCATGACACCACAGTGGTCCCCTGAGGCCTGAGGAGAAAGATTTGGCTACTGACTGGTGTGCTCAGCTGTGACTCCGCACTTCCTGTGGGACTTTATATCTGACGGAAGACTTCCTCCAAAGCTCTTGCCAGTTCACCTAGCCCAGTGACTTGTGCTAGTAATGATAACGGGGGTGGGGGGGCGGGGAACACCCTTCTCTGGGCTCCTCTGATGTGTCAGATAAGCTCCACATTATCTCATTTGAATTTTATTCATGTAATCTCTACGCCCAATGTGGGGCTCAAACTCAGGAAATCAAGCCAGGCACCCTCCCCCCCCACATTATCTCATCTAAACCCTCAAAGCAACCCCTCTTCAATCAGTGTCACTGGATTTAATTCAATTTTTTGTGTATGTATTTGGGGCAGGGGCAGTACAGTGTGATTTCCAATTATTACTTTTTAAAAATTCATTCTTTTTTAAATTTGGTTTTGACAGCCAAGTAATGTATAATGCATTTATACATCTTGTAAATACACTTAAATGGTACAGATAAAGCACAAGCAAGTGACTTTCGACCTCCCTCTGACATTCTAGTGTGTAAACCTTGGCCTTTGCATGTATTTAGATATCTAAACGTGAACATGTGGAAAGAACATTTTGTAGTTAAAAAATAAAAGGGGTCATACTGAATATATTTTCCCCCAAATTTTATTGTGAAAATTTGTAGACGTATAGAAAATTTGAAATAACTATATAGTGAACACCCATACATATACTTACCACCTAGATTCCACAGTTAACATTTTGCTATATTTATCACCTATTATCCATCAACTATCTAATTTTTTTTTTAAAGATTTTATTTATTCATTCATGAAAGACAGAGAGAGGCAGAGGGAGAAGCAGGCTCCCAAGGAGCAAGGAGCCCGACATGGGACTCGATCCCAGGACCCTGGGACCATGACCTGAGCCGAAGGCAGACGCTCAACCATCTGAGCCACCCAGGCGCCCATCAACTATCTTATTTTTTGATATGTTTCAAGTAAATTGCAGACATCAGTGCCCTTCACCCTTAAACACTTCAGATACACTTTAGAGTTCAATATTTTTTAGGTTAAACTTACACACTGTCAAATGTATTTTTGTATTTTCCTACACCTTGCTTTTCCCTTCTGCTTAACCATCCTCACTAAGGTGGTGTCTGCCCTTCCTTTTTTATTTTTATTTTTTAAAGATTTTATGTATTTATTTGACAGCACAAGGAGGCAGAGCGACAGGCAGAGGGAGAGGGAGAAGCAGGCTCCCTGCTGAGCAAGGAGCCCAATGCGGGGGGGGCGGGCTCTTTCCCAGGACCCTGGGATCATGACCTGAGCTGAAGGCAGAGGCTTCACCGGCTGAGCCACCCAGGGGCCCCTGCCCTTCCTTTTTTAAGGGAAGCACAACTCCGTTGAATAGCTGTGCCCCTGTCAACCGCCACCCCATCCTCCTTTAATGGACGTTTAGGTTGTTTCAAGATTTTCACCCAAATGACGTACGCATCCCCTTACGCGTTGCAATGACCTTGCTTGCTTATGCCTCTTTGGGTTCTTGCACGCATTGTTCTACGATAGCCACCGAGAAGTGGAATTGAGCAAAGTGAAGGCCCATTCTTTTTTAAGATTTATTTATTTATTTGAGAGAGCAAGAATGAGAGTACATGAGAGGGGGTTGGGTCAGAGGGAGAAGCAGGCTCCTTGCTGAGCAGGGAGCCTGATGTGGGACTCGATCCCGGAACTCCGGGATCATGACCTGAGCCGAAGGCAGTCGCTTAACCAACTGAGCCACCGAGGCGCCCAGTGTTCTAACAGATCTCGCTAAATTGTCCCCGCTTCCCCTGTAACTCCCACGAACACGGAACGTTCCGCACACCTTTGTCAACACCGGACAATACGGGTCATTTAATGTGCAGTCAGGTCCAAGGGTAAGAAAATGACGGGAAGCCAGTGCAGCTGAAACAGAAAGGGCAGGTGGAGCCCAGCGCAAGAGGAACCCGGACAGGCGGTGACACGGGGCACGGAGAGTGCGTCGCCCCGAGGCACCCTCATTAACACTTGCTCTTGTTAACCCGCTCTCCCGGGAGCGCCCGTGCTCCCCGGCGCCAGGTGCCCCGCGGGAGGCGCCGCGTACCCGCCGCAAGGGCGTGTCCGCCGCAGGCTCCGCCCCCGCGGCGTGCGCGCGTCGGGCCGCCCTTGCACCGCCCGCTCGGCTGCGGCGGCCGCGGCACTTCAGGGAGTCGCTGACGGAGGCGCGGACTCGGCGGCGGGCGGACGGCCGAGCGAAAGAGGCCGGTGAGTGGCCCGCGCCCTCCGCGGCCCTCCTCTGGGTCCTCGGCGAGTCCGGCTGGCCCGGGCCTTCGAGACTTGGGCCGGGCCGGCGGCGGCACTCTGCGGCCCCGGCACGGGCCTGAGGGAGACCCGGCGGGCCGGGGCGGGGGGCGGCCGGAAACGGGGTGAGCGCGAATGGGGCCGAGCTGAGGGTCCCCGCTTCCTACGCGTCGCATCGGCGGGCCGGCCAGGCCCGAGCGGCCGGTCCGCGTTGGGCCCAGCCCCTCGCGGCGTCACGAGTGCGCAGGGCGAGGTGACCCCGGGGGCGCCGCGTGCTGTCTTGGCGTTCCCGGCGCGGGTAGCAGCCTCCGACAGCCGTGAGCCCACCGGGACCCCCGCCTGTCCCCCGGGCGCCCGAGGTCTGTGCTTCGCGTGGCGGCTGCTGCGGGCTCTGCGCTTCCTCCTGACTCACCTCAGTCGGAAGGGCGCTTTGAGTCACGGTCATGACTTCATGAGTGACCCGCCGCCGCCGGGGCGCACACCGGTCGGGAGGGACCGACGCCCGGGGCGGCCGGTTAGTCCGGGCG